TGTCTGAGTCTGTCTGAGGCTGAGTGTTCTGTCGTAGCCTGAGAGCGTCTGAGTCTGGCTGTCTGTCTATGGAGAAAGAGAGAGAGAGAGAGAGAGAGAGAGGGAGGATGGCCCCATTTCGATACCTCGACGGAACATGGCCACTGCTGAGAACTACCAATTGCCTCCAATGCCCTCAGAGCTTGCTACAGGTTGGTTCCCTGGTGGTAGACATCTCTCTGCACCACCACCATTTTTCTAGGCAAACAAACAAACAAACACATACACAAACGAGCTAGCAAGCTTGCTATGCTGATTCCCTTGCCTAGCTCTGCTTCTTCTTCTTCTTCTTCGTAATTTTGTAGAATTTTTGGGGAAAGCCGATGAACAAGCTTGGCCATAAGCGCAAATGGGCTAGCGCAATCGCACTGTCAGCTCCTGGGTTCTGTGTGGAACTCTGGCGTTTCCTGCCATGTGGTGGCAGGCTGTGGCAGAGGAACCCCATTACAAGCTGAGTGCATTGCTTTGCTTGCAGGGACTGAAGTTTGAAGCGGTTTGTTGGTAAAATTCAAGGCGATGGTGCCCGAGACTTGAACATTCTCTACTTTGTTTCTCTTCGTGATTATTTTTCTTGCCATTCGGCTGCAAGTTAGTGGCAGGTAACAGTCCATATTAAATAATAAATTGAAAAAACCATTTAATAGCCGATTTGGGAGTGCTGTGGTTAAATGGATGTGATCATCGCCAGTGCCAGCACATTAGTTGCCAGGTCCAGCTGGGCGTGTTGGTCAAATCATTGAACTGGAGAATTCTCGTTCATTCTCCACATTACGACAAAAAGGTTGAAAATCTCGACCAAACAGAAGAAGAAGAAGAAGAAGACCAAGGTCGCGTGTCATGAAAAAGCCCATCCCCGAAGTTGGGGCTGTTACGAATTGACTTTGCAGGCATCTTGTTGGGCTTTGAGTCGCATTCCGTCTGCGAAGTGTTGGAAGGAGAGCCCCAGGGCCCCAGGGCAGCAGCAGCAGCACATCAGTTTTCAGCCCCTTCTCTCTACTTGTTGGCTAAGGTAACAAAAACGAGAAACCAACAGCCCAGATATATGAAAAACGTGTACCGATTTGGGGGGCGAGAAGATCGTTGATTACTAATTTTAAACTGATTCTCTGATTCTGCAAAATCTTACATTTCTGGAAAATGTTGTGATTAGTTCTTTTGAATTATGATACTGTTACAGGTCTCTTTTTTGGCTTATCATGCAAAATAAGTGACAAAGTACCTCACCAGGTTTAGTGTTTTGGAAGCCTCAAATTTGTAGGGCCGTTCCATTCTTTTCGTGCATGCTAGGTGAGACTTAAGTCAGTCAAATTGTTAGACAGTATTCTAAGTGTAAAGTGGCAACTATGACAATTTAGTGATATAATGGAACATTTAAAAACCTTATTGGAAATTATCATATAATTCTTTCGACATGTATGAAACACTTTCCTCAACAGATAATAAAATATTATGATTATTTTTTATTGATTAATAATCCATGAGTAGGGGCACCCTGTAAGTAATCGAAACGACCTTTTAAAAAACTCCAGTCGATGGCTTCTGACGGCGTGATCAACTCTGAGCAATAACTTGTTGGGCATGATAAGAAAACAAGCACCATTCCAAAGATCATAAGACTTATATACCTTTCTAAAAAAAATTACGCCTTATACACCGTTTACTGAATTGATTTGTAAGATGCTTTGTCATGTGTAACCCTCACACACGCAACCCAGAAGCCAGGACAAGCTGACTGGCCACCAATGCTGAATCTAGTACAGTACGTGGATTAATAGCTTCCAATCGAATCTAGAGGTAGTAGTTGTCTTTCCGACTATGACCAACTTCTTAAATACTTGGGTGCTAACGTTGGTAATCTCCTTCAATGAATTGCTAAAAAAAACAGATCATGGCATGAACGCCGACCTGGTTATCTCAGAAGGTGTACTACATAAGAGGCAGAGAAAAGAAGACAATCGTAACACTATGGGAATTGGCTTCAATGCTGGCAAAGCTTCTCCAACTCTGTGAAGTATGTTGGGAAAGTCTTGCGGGTGCAACCTGGATCCAAGATTGTGATGGGCACGTCTCCACAAGCAGCGAGCGAGAAGGCCATGGCCATACGGTGGTCATCATATGTTTCGATTTTTGCAGGGGTGATCCTCTTCGGAGGAGTCACTATGCAGTAATCTTGGCCCTCTTCTACCTCCGCTCCAAGCTGCCCACACAAGGTACAAATGTTAAAGTCCAGGTAGCTGATTTTTAGCCTCTTTCTGTTTACCATCCATTAAAATGGAATCCAAGTCTTTAAATGTGATAGAACCAATCAAGACAGTGACCTTAATGCGTCAGAATGTGAACTGAAGTCTAACCGATACTTAACTGACATTCGAAAACATATCAAACCCTCACAAGCAGGGCGCTCTTGTTTGTAGTGACAGATACTTCCTCGTTTCAAGCCACTTCACTGGCAAGTGGAGGCAAGTTACCAGAGCAACTTCTGGATTAAATCATAAATTGCAAGTTATTCTTAAAAGATGCCATTTAAAATAAGGTACTTAAATAAATTTTAATTTTAAAAATCCGTAATTAATTTTAAAAACCTGGATAATGTGTCTTAGACTTTACAAGTATAGAAACGTAAAACTATTTCACCAGAAACATGTTAAAGAAATAGGTTTACCTTGGTCAGCTCGTCGACGATAGCCCTCATACGCTCCGTCTCTTTCACTCTCCAGTTTTCAACTGCAAAGAATTAAACAACTGAAAAGATGAGGTCTCCGAGAACAGAAGCATGTGAAAAGACGATCGATGAGAAAAAAAAAACTCATTTGCAACCCATTTCCTCCAGGTAAATAATAAAGCTGAAATTTGTAAAGAAACGCCACCAAGTGTTCAAGTTAAACATGAAAGCAAGGTGCCGCAAAATACCATCCCGAATCGCCACAGGGCCATCCGAAAAAAGGCCCAACACGGCTAGAGTCATCGCAACATCGGGCATTGCGTTCATATCGACATCAATAGATTTCAACCTTTTGCCGGTTCTAGGATCCACTGGTGCCCCTGTAACGGTAACTGAGTGCTCGGTCCACTCAACCTTGGCTCCCATCTTCTCTAGCACTGCGGCAAATTTCACATCACCCTGGAATACAATACAAGGCTCCAAAATGCTCAGAGTGGGCAGGCGATTCACAACATGATGTTGTAGTGATCAGGGTGTATGGAAGGGTTTTGGGTCAAGTCTCAACAACATCGAACCTACCATTGCAACACACAATTGACCGACTATAAATTCCTACATTCTAGAGTCATAAGCAGACCTGAAGGCTGCTAGTTCCACAACCCTCAACGGTGATGGTGCCTCCTGTCACGGCAGCACCAGCTAAGAAATAGCTAGCGCTTGATGCATCACCCTCGACATACGCGTTTCCTGGTGACCTAAAAGAGGATCAACGCATGCAACATCAGTTCGCATGCACTTCTGTCGTGCTATAGTTCACATCTTTGCTACATGAAACAGCTACTTTTAATGCAAGCATCACCTAATAAGAAAAACAATACAAACTCTGTCCTCTGATGTGCGAAACTGCAGAGAGCTAGACAATTGAGGCAAGAAAAGGTGACATTGACGGAAGTAACACTTGTCGTGGGGAGTGCACCCCAGAAGCATCATTGTCATTTGACTACAGTCTTAACATTCGGACATTAGAGGTTCGAAGCTGAAGAACATACTTGTAAGTTTGACCACCCTTGATTGAGAACCGTTCCCAGCCACCATGCCTTTCAACTTTCACGCCAAATCTCTCCATCAACCGCAAAGTCATATCCACGTAGGGCACGGAGACTAGTTTGTCAATCATCACAATCTCAACATCCCCCAGCGCCAGTGGTGCTGCCATTAGAAGAGCAGACAAATACTGGCTGCTAACTTTGCCTGAAAGATGCACCTGCAAAAGGTAGAGCACTGCAGTATTTTTACTATTATTTTAAATTCAATTTGTAGTGAACAATGCCGAGTCTTTATTACCTCAGAATTCGAACAATCTTGAGGTGAGAATTCAATGCTACAAGGACGATGTTTACCTAAGTATTCAACTAGAATACCGGTTGAAGCAAAAAACGAAGGCTCTTGTTGGTTTTATCAAACATCACGATGGTGGATATCAGGTGTAGAAAACACATTCAAATGACTATAGAAATATCTCTGGTGGCAGATTGACATCTAAGACCTAAGCCCTAAACCGACAGCAGACAGCGCAGAGCAAAAAGTTTCATACCGTTCCTCCAGGAAGACCTCCCTTAGATTTCGAGCCGCTTGATTTATCATTGATTATAACAGGAGGACAATTGGGATATTCTTCCGTGCATTTGACATCAGCTCCAAGCTGCTGAAGGCCCGCCACCAAATCAATGATAGGTCTTTCTCTCATGCGGGGCACTCCATCCAACACATAACTGGACATTTACATGTCAATCAGTAGACTGTAGATGGACGGGTTTAGACATAAGACTGCAATTACGTCGAACCAAAAACCACGAGATGCTCATTAGGAAGGAGAGGGAAAGAACTCTACCTAACATTGCCACCCGCAGCTACCACGGCAGCTGTCAATGGTCGCATGGCAGTACCGGCGTTACCAAGGAAAAGATTCACCGTTTCACCGCTCTTCTCTGCGTCCCTAGCAATGGGAAAGACCCCGCCTTCTCCCTCGATTACAAGCCGATTCGCAGCGCGATCCTCCTCGATTTTGAAACCTAAAGTTTGAAGCGCTGCAACCATGTAGCGAACATCCTCACTATCGAGTAGGTTCTCCACCACAGTTGTCCCCTGGTAATTGCAAGAACCTCAAGGAAACCAATCAGAAAGAAGAATACATATACATTCATGTGTATGCGTGCGCTGAGATACCACGCTGTGGTTATAAAGCCAAGAACCTGTCATGCTAGTGAAAGTTCGTAAAACAGCTCAAGGGAGCAGCAACGTCTAGTGCATCAATCATGACATTGTCAGAAGAACAGCTATCACTTAGTTATCATTGCTGATGATTTTTTAACATCACTCAAAATTGCATGAAAGACTTACTGAGCTACAAATTATGGAAGTAATTTGACTCAGTTGAAGCTAAACAAAAAGTTGGTCAAGAACTTCACCTCTGAGAGGGCTGCTAGAAGAAGCGTGCGGTTCGAAAGCGACTTGGATCCTGGAAGCTTGATTGTTCCACTGATAGTCTTAATGGGTTGGAGAGTAATCTCCTCCATTTTCTCAGCAACAGCGGCTCTGGCAACCCTAGTCTTGAATGCATGTGTCCCCCATTGAGCTCTCTTCTCGACAGCCTTCAGCAAATCTTGAGCTCCGACTTTCGAAACTAAAGAATTCACTTGCGGAGAGAGCTTCATTAGGCAGACTAACTTGTCCAGCCTCTGCTTGCTCAAGTCATCACCTCTGGTCATAGGATTATTGACCCACGTCTTAGATAACGGCACACGAACCACCTCCATTGTATTCTACTTCAAGAAAATCAAGCCTTCAATAAATTACGCTCAGGTATCTGCAAGGTAAAGCAGGTGGACACACACGACCTGTAAGACAAACTTCAAAGATTATTACAAACGTCAATCAATTCACCAGCTCGCCCTTCCCTACGCCTCAGACCCAAACCTCAAACCGACAACACAACCACATTGAACTCCACTACCACACCTACCTCTAAACCAACAACACGAAAAAAACAAAACAATAATCAACAAACCTAACTGAGGCAAATCCTACACTCAAACCTCTCACCAAAAGTCTGAACCTCCGAATTCAGCAAGGGATTCAGCGCACCGAGGCTGCCGAACAAGATCCCATGCAGCACAAACACACATTCAAGCCAAAACACCACACGACCAGATCACAATCCCTTCCACAAAACCCTTCGTTGCAGATTTTCCAACACAGAAAAAGTCTAAAATACTTGTCCCTCACACAGCGTGTTCTCAACCTGTAGCTAACTGTGCGCATCGCAACAAAGACATGTGTTGGATGAGATGGGCAGGAAGCTTACAATGAAGAGCTTCAAGGCGTATGACCATGGGGAGGAGATGGATTGACTCCAATGCGGAATGCGTGTGCGAGACTGGAAGCTGGAAGAAGAAGGAAGAAAGAAAGAAACAAAGGGAGGAGTATCAGGAACAGGGGAAGCAAGCAGATAAAGCCCTCTGACAACGTGCCCGGGGTGTGAAAAGGGTGTCGAGAGGGTGGCCTGTTCTGGTCCGGATTGGTCAAGTCAATTTCGGAGTGTTTCTCATGCCTTTCTGCCGCGGAAAGGGTCGCATCGCCGTGGTAAAGGCGGACTTCCTGTGCGGCATGAAGTTGTGGGACCCATGACCAAGGACCAGATAATGGACCAACTTCAAAACTGTGGTGATTCAATTGCACGACAGTGTTTTGTTGGAATTTCTTTGAGGAGAATGAATTATGGACTAGACATATATTTCTTTTTCCTATTTTTTAAAATTTTGTATCTTAAAAACAATTGAGTAGTTCTTACTGAAAGTAACTATTATTATTACTATTATTATTAAGTTTAGTATTTTAATTTAAGTTTTCCAAACTAAAAATTTAAATTTGCAATCATTTAAATCAAAAAAAATATTTGGCTTTAAGTTTCTACATTACATTTCTATATTCCAAAGTCACATATTTTGTTGCACAAACATATTAAGAAAAAATAAAAAATAAACCCAATTTAATTAATATGCAGATAGTTATTTTGTTTATAAATTAAGTAAACTACAAGTTGACTACTTACTATTATACATAACCTCAAATTGTGAATTTTCAATAATGATAATAATAAAAAAATGGCTACTTCTTATTAATATTTATTATTGTTATTATTATTGTTATTATTATTATTATATATTTTTAAATAATAAAAACATCATAAAAATATAAATTGATTAAAAATATAAAAAAATAATATCATTGTAATTATAATTATCATGTCCAATTAAAAACATTGATACAATATAATATTAGAACTAAATTTTGCTTAAGAGCATAGCAAGCTTTTAGTGGCAAAAAATAAAATAAAGTAAAATAAGAGTATTCTATTGATGTTTTCATGAGTAATACCATCTACCAATATATTTAAATAAATATAAGAATAGAGAATAAAAAAGACAAAAATACAAGAAGTACATAAATTCTAATTTATATTTATTGAATACAATAGCTTTTGATTAAAATAATTTGTTATTAAGAACATCAATTATAGGATTTTCCACCTTAAGTATACAAATTAAACTAGGCCATAAAGTATATACTTAGGTCTAGTATGTACTTAGCATAAACATGATTGTAGAATATTCCAAAGGCTACATTTTAAGTATGCTCATGTAGTTTAAAATAAATAGATTTAGGATTAAGGATTTAGGATTTAAATTTTATATGTTTATATTTAGAAGAAGTATTTTGTATTTATTATTATATATAATTATAATATTTTTTATTTTTAAAATTTTAAATTTTCTTTATGCCAATTGCTCCAACAAAAAAATAAACAAAATAAAATAAAAAAATAAAAAATGTAATAATTCGTGTGATGGACATCCACAAAATAGAAATAATTAATCCTCTAGAAAATCCAATGCCTCCTTTCATGCAATTTCTTGTAAGATTAAAATTATAAATTTAAAAAATTATAAATTATAATATTTAGAAGAATAAAAATAAGATAAAACTATATTTTTTTTATAATTCTCAACAAAGTTAGATTACAACATAAAGGATTTTAAAGCCCAAATGTATATGCTCTTGAAGAAAAAATTATTTATATATTTGCAATCAAAGATAAATCTACCACCATCCCTTATAATTTCAAAGCAAAAAAACTTACAATTTAAATAGAGTTGCATAATTTTACATAAGGCTAAGAGTTGTTTTTAAGATATAAGATTTGGAGAGGACTTGGCTTGATGTTAATTTATAGTAATGATGTTGAAGTTAACAAAGATAATCTATATTTATAAAATGTATTAAACAATCTTCATTATATTATTAGAAAATATAAACCAAAGAATGTTTACAATATAGACAATATTAGATAATATTTTAAACTTGTTCCAAAGTACTTGGTTCTACTTCCTACAAAAGATAAATCAACTACTAATATGAAAAAGAAATCTAAATAAATGGCGACTTTGGTTGTTTGTGCTTTTGTAATTGGTCATCTCAAATTGCTATACATAATGATTGAAAAGGCAATCATACCAATATATATATTGTGAAACTTATTTGGCCAATTTTTTACTTATATTTAATTTTTGAAAAACTTTGATAAATAGAATAAGATTTAATTTATGATTTTATACCATCTTTGTACCTAATTTTAAATAAAACATAAGAAGAAAAGTCTTCTTATTATTGGATAATACTTTGTCATGAACATATTTATTCTAATAGTTATCTAGATAATATGAGTAGATATAAGTAAATAAAAGTAGATTATTTTGATAATTTCATATAGAAAAGCTTCTTAGATGCTTTGTAGACTTGGTTTCACTTTTATACATATTTATAAGTGATTGGTAGGTTTAAATCTTGGCCAATAAATTAGTTATGTATCACATATATTAATAGCTTGTGGTACAAGCTAACAGTGTCACACTCATGTAGAAAACTTGTTTTGTAAGTTAAAACATGTGTCTCACAAATTAGACCCATATTGGAGGTCTTATAGAATATTGCCATATAGATCTTAAGTAGATAATATATGTAGAGGCAAGAATGAAGCCTTTTTCACTTTTTTCAATTTTTTTCTTGCTTTTAATCAAGTTCCAAGAATCTCTAGATTTCTAATCTTTGATTATAGCAATTTTAGTTTCTTCTTGAACATATATACTTTCTTACTATTATTTTGTCATCTTTCTTTAATATTTATTTTATTTGTTTATGTATCTTCTTTTGGATTCTTATTCTTAATTAATTAAGAAGAATGCTTACTCATTGTTCTTGACTTGTTTTTAGAAGTGAGTGGATTATTCTACTTTTATTGTTATATTTTAAAAGTTGCAAACTATTTATTTTGAATTAATATTTTTTTATATTATTTTTTCCTTAAAGAAAGTTGATTATCTTTATTTGTAAAAATTCTCATTTGATATTAAAAGTTGTAAATTACCTTTCTCTAATTTAATTTTTGAATTTATTAAGTTTTTTGAAATGAAAGAAAAAATCATAGATGCTACACTTGGCAGAAGTAGAAATAGAGTTATATCTATTATAGATTTTCTCAAGTTTGTCAACACTCTTAGGATAGAAATTTTATGCACTATTAATACTAAATATAGAAGTGTTATTCCTATACTTATGGAAGAAGTCTAAAATCTTTGATAAAAAGTTGTACGGTTGAGAAAAATAAGTAGATCAACATAACAACCAAATCTTAGGAGTCTTGCTTTTATAAGCATAAGAGAGGCAAGGATTAGTATGCTTAAGAAGTTTCATGGAACAAGATCAAAATTTCAAATATTTCTTTAATAAGTCAAGCTTTATCTAAGATTGGATCCTTTCAAATACTATAATGGATTTATTCAAGTTGCATTCATAAGTACACTTCTATCTAAAAGTATTCTTTTTTGATTTGTACCTTTGATAGAAAAAGATTCATGACTTATTTATTGTTTGAATTCATTTTTAAAAGTGTTTATGCACACATTTGGAAAAGACGATCAAGAAAGAGTAGCAAAGACCAAGTTTTTATCTTTACACCCAGAATTATAATCAGCCATCATATATGCTATTAAATTCCAAAATCTTGCTTGTGACGTAGATTAGAATAATAAAGTCCTTATCAATCAATTTTAATATGGGTTGAAGGATAACATCAAAGATTTGTTATTGACAATATTAAAAGTAGATTCTTTACAACAATTTATTATTCAAGCCATTATATACAACAATTTATTATTCAAGCCATTATATACAACAATTTATTATTCAAGCCATTATATAAAATAATTTATTATTTAAAAGACATTAAGAATAAAGATTTGATTGGAAAAGAATCTTATTTTATAATAGATATATATTTAGGGCATAAAAATCATAAAGACTTTTTTTTATTAGATTTAAGAGCCTTAGCTTGTTTTATAGATGAAAACTTTGTAAAAATAAATAAGAAATATTGTTTGTTAAAAAAACTAAATCTATATAGGTAAAATCATAGATGATCATCTATTATTTTTTTGAGATGTTATCCATGATACTATTCCTTTAAATGTAGAAATTAAAGATCATAATAGCATAATAATATTTAATGTAATAAAATATTTTTTTATTTAAATTATTTCAAGATTATCATAGTTAAAAAAAATATATAATTTTTAAATAAATAAGATTTCTTATAACTTTTATTTTTTATAATTTAATCCAAAATTTTGTTAGTCAAACAAAAATATACAAGTCTAATACATTCAAATCCATATAAGTAGATGTAAGAGCTTTTATGCATGTGACAAAAGAAGGATCATCTTTTCTTATATATACCATACCTATTTATGATGGTGGAAAGACATTAAGTAGTATCTCTAACTAGTATCAAGATTTCCAATATATTTTTTTTAAAAAAAAGATAGATATTCTTTTAAAGTATTGGCTCTATGATTATTCAATTGATCTTCAAGAAAGAGCTCAATTGCCATTTGGACTAATTTACAATATATTGTCATACGAGTTGGCTACATTAAAAGAATACATTGATAAGAACTTGATTAAGAACTTCATATACTATTCAAAATCTCTAATACAATTTTTTATCTTATTGAAAAAAAAAAAAAAAAAAAAAAAAAAGAATCTCTATGGATGTGCATAGATTGTCAACGATTTAATAAGATCACCATCAAGAATATGTATTCCTTAACTCTCATTTTAATGCTTCTTGACCAACTCAATCAAGCAAAAATCTACTTAAAAAATAGATCTACAAGGAGCATACAACTTAATCCGCATTAAAGAAAGAGATAAATAGAAGACTATTTTTTGAACTAGGTATGGACATTTCAAATATAATATCATGTCTTTTGGACTCATGAATACACCAATCACTTTTTAACATCTTATAAATGGTTTTTTTATAATTTTCTTAATGATTTTATTGTCAATTAATTAGACAACATTCTAATCTATTCTAAGAACATATAAGAATATGATTTGTT